TTTCTCTTTAGAGCAGCTGCTCGAGCAGCTGATGAACTCGGTTTAGTTTTCGGCACTGAACGAGGTGACCACAACTCTGTCACCGAGTTGGAACCCGTTCAGCAAACAGCTCAGATAAAAGCTGGAGAGATCACCTCACTTCTGCGGAAACACAAGGATAAATCAATGCATGGGGTCTTCTTCAATAGCATTGAAGACCTTGGCCTATCAAAGCGCCTGATGTTCGATTTCCTCAGATCGAGTGGGCTGAAGTCGGAAACTGACGGGTTCATCATGGCTTGCCAGGAAGGTATCTTCAACACCTTAGTCTACCGCAGTAGCGTGATGGGTATAGAGGTTCCTGACACAAGGTGTCTCGGGTGCCGCGAGGCGCCCGAGACCCTAATGCACTTGCTGTCAGCATGTCCAACATAGGCGGTCTCGGCCTATATCCATCTACATAACGCGGCCCTAAGAGTGCTATATTACAATCTACAGCACTCTTACGGCATTGACGAGACACCGGTGTTGCCCTGCGCTCCGGGGGATATTGAATCCGTTGTGGGGAATGAGAAGTGCCGAATTTATTGGAACTATTCGTTCCCCACCCTCAGGCTCATACAAGCTAATAAGCCTGATGTAGTCCTTCTCGACCACCAGAGCAAGACGATATTTGTCGTGGAGTTTTCTGCTCCTGGCGAGACTAATATCGTCCGAAAAGAGGAGGAGAAACGGATAAAATATCGAGATTTTCTCTTCGAACTCCGCAGACTCTATCCAGATCACTCTGTCAAGATGGTTGTTCTGATTAATGGAGTCCTTGTTGGAATGATGCCCTTTCTACTCTCGAATCTTAAAATCATACCGGGCTGCCGCACTAAGGCAGAAATCTTAGCAGGACAGATGCAGAAGGCTGTCATTCTTGGCTCACTGTTTCATAATGCCATTACTGTCATAAATGTATCTGTTGTGAATGTGTAGTTCAAGTGAATTATATTTAATGTTTGTTTTTTGTAATGTTATGTTTCCTTCGTTCGTAATTATTTGTTGTATAAAAGTTGCTACTTCGTTGACGAATACAAATCAAAATGTGAATGTTGTTGGAACTTTTTTGAGCCCCTGTATACTGTTCTTGTTAGGAAAAACAAAATATGTTGTTGACTGTCAGAATGAAAGTCAAAAATATAGCTTTCAATTTCCCATTCACAAAATAAATTCCATGCCAGGGCAATTGTACCATATAGTTTGTGAAGTGTAGATCAAATTTTCTAGAATGTTTTTTTTGTTAGACTCCCAAGTTACGACGAATTATTCAGAATTTGTAATCGCCACATTGAACTAAGACATCGAATCAACGCAGGAAGGATAATTTTATAAACACTGTGATTACCAACTCCGCTCATTTCCTAATTTTATTTTCATCAGCGTAAATCGTAATTAGACTATCACTCGTTAAAGATTGGTATAATTGAACGGTCGTATGTGGCTAATGATAGTGAAAAACCATTAGGCGCGATCGGTCTGAATGAGCGGAAAGAATCTTCTGTTGGAAAGTGAAAGCGCGTAAGTATTATGCGTTGTCGAAAGTCATCGGTTTTCGCCAATTTCTCCAACATACCTTCTCAGATGATTCGTCTTCCACGTGTACGCCTTGATCAGAGAAATGATTCGAAGATTTCACTGTTGTTAAAGCAATACTTCCCGAATATTTGAGCGTATGCGCGAATAGTTGTGAATAAATGCGAGTAGGAAGTAAGAAGACGTTTTTGAAAGGTGAGATTAGAAATCAACACAAATCGATGTTATGAAATACATATTTGGCAGGGCTTTCACAATAAGTTTTCATTCTAATTGTATGGAAAACGAGTTTAAGGGTACAGGACCTCGAGATTTTGGATGTGGAATTTTTCCTATATGAGGACATACTGTGCATTTCTTTAATGTCCCCGCCTTTTATTTTTTGAACGTGTCAACTCAAAAAATTGAAATTTGGGATAATGAAATAAATGCATGAATACTTTATTTTGAAGTGAAATTGACAGATGAAACTTTGGAGATGGCGACTGGGCGAAATCTGGAAAAAAAATTAAATGGAAAGGGGGTTTTGTGACACCTCATCCCGATAAGGTTTGTTAAGGTTTGTTGTGGCGTCACAAAAGTGACGCCACAGTTATTATTGAAAAACAGGAATTAAGTATGAAAGTGAACAATTATATAACGGAAAACGATTTTAGCACGATGAATCACGATCCAACCACAAAATATGAAAGACAAATTAATAGCCTAATAAAATCCAACAAACAGATCTTTAACAACAAAGCATTGAACAGATACACAGTCAACAACCCAAAAGCACCAAAACTCAACGCACAGATAAA